CCTCTTGTGGATGGTGATTTTCAGGCCTTGGATTCCATGGGAACAAGGAAAAAAAATAGGGCCCTTCTTTTGATTGGTAAAGGTAACCTCAAAAGGACTTGCTTTCTTGACCTTTCAATGCAAGTGTCAACGTATTGGCTTCATGTTCAAATTTGGAACCACGAAGTTTCAACTTAAAGTTACCACTCAATCATTTAAGTTAATTATAGATTTATAGGAACTGACATCTCACTATTGTTTTGTAAGAAAGTTCAAAAAAGTAAAAAAAAAAAATGAAGAAGCACTAAATAAATCTATATTTCATACTGAACTCCACACATTCCACTGCTAATTTAACTCAGGAAGCTGATACTGAAAATTACAGCAATCAAATCATGCGTGTATTGTGCCTCAAATTAGTGACGTGTTTTGCTAATGGATTATAATTATTTGTCAGCATTTGTGAGGCAATTGGGTTCACTATTTTATACCAGAAGATGATAAAGATAATGGGTCTAATCACCTTGAGATATTAAGTAATGGCCACGGGTGGGTCCTTGAAAAGAGGATTACACGAGATATAATTCCACTTATTTTCTTTCTTATTTGGAACCAATCATGAAACATGGGTTACTCAGACACTCCAATCTTCTTGATAAGTAAAAATATGATTCAATATGCTGTATGGCACAGGGGAAAACAACAGTGTTTTTTTTTTTTTCCTCCTATGTTGGGCGTGCACCACATTCTTAATAGTTCCAGCAAATTTTACATGATTATAACAGTAAATATTTTATGTTGAGCACTGTAAAATCTCTCAAAAATGCAACAGTTTGAGGTGCATGTGAGGTTCATTAACAGTTGTGGGAATGAGTTATGAAGAAGGGCAGGTGAGAGTTGAGACCAATCACCAATATAAGTATGTTAAATCCTTTCAATGCTTTCATGAGTGTTTCCCTCCTTGTAGACACAGGAGGGTCCCTTGAAAAGTTTGTTATTGACATTTCACCCTACATCACTTGAATTTGAAGATTTGCACCGATATTTGGTAGGTTTGAAATTGAAGACATGAATGATATTTCACAATTAGAGGGTCTAAAATTCTTCATTTTTCTGAAAGCATCATTTTCTTTCTCATACAAATTCCTTGATTGGTTTGAGTTCTCATCAAAACACCATTCAAACCAATTAATTGCCAAAACTGCACCGCCTCTTCTATGTAATCCTCAAGCTTTCATGATTGCTAAAGGGTTTTCTACAAGTTGCTAAGTGTTAGTAATCAAACTTGTACTTTTATCACCTCTCTAGTCAATATTTGTTTGCTGTAATCACTAACCCCATCCAACTTTCCTTCCTCAAATCACAACAACACAATCCTTATCTTTTACACTGATGACTTTACTAAACCCAAAAAAGAATAAAAAATGGTAATATATCACTTCTCATTTCATTTTCAGAGTCTATTTAAGATAAAATACTGCAACTGTTCAAGACCTTATGTGTTAAGATTAACAGCACAACAGGGCTTAATTTAAACAACAACCCATTATAATTATAATATTGGTAAGCAGTAATCTATAAAGATTCTCAAGCTTTAGACCTTTAGTTTTCTTTATGTATTATTTCCAGGCAATCAAAATCAAACCAACTTCGTTTCTCTCGCACAAAAATACAACATTGATCACAGCACACATGGTTGTCTCTTGGTTGATTTACAGCAAGTGGGTAATGAGTGATTGATTTTAACTATCTGGATGCTCGTGTACGGTTATGGAATCGGACAAAAAGCTGACGCTGGAATTTTCAGAATATAAACAGAAACCGTAAATGGTTTATCATATTTTGCTTATGGAACCACTTTGTTTACTGCTCAAAGCCTGGTAGCCATCAAAATGAAAGACATCCAAACAGCAAAACTATTTTTATGTTACTACTAGCCCCTCATGTGGATTCTGAAAAAGCTGAGGTTGAGGCCCCAGCGTGATGGAGCTTGTAATATTCAACTAAATTTGCTGACTTCTATTTCGATTCATTATACACAAAACAAGAAAAACAAAAAAAACAAAAAAAAAAAACAGTCGTTTTCTGAGGTACTTTCAGACTGCAAATAGATGGGGTTAGGCAGTTGTTGGATGTATGACATTAGTACACAAGCACAATTTGAAAAATGAACAAAACGAGTTCAGCTAGCATGTTTCTAGATGATCAAAAAGCCATTCTAGAAGTACATTTTATTTAGATTTTATGCCCAGTTTACACCATTTTATTGAGAATAAAGATTTATCACTGTACTCGAATCACACTTCAACCAAAGCACAGACAACTAGTCCCCATGTAGCAAGAAGCGCTCATAAATTTTTCCTTTAGGATCTTCTTGCAAGCAGCTGTGCATGCTTCGATAGTGCATGGGTTCATTATGATTCCGATTACTGCCTCTGCTGTGCTAGGATTGGTGGCCATGAAGATTAAGCCCACAAGAATTAACACCATAAACCACTGCAGACTTGGTCTACCTTCCATTGAAGAACAAAGAAAGCTTGATTTTTCTCTTGTTCTTGATAGAAATTTGAGTGATCTATTGTNCAAATTCCTTGATTGGTTTGAGTTCTCATCAAAACACCATTCAAACCAATTAATTGCCAAAACTGCACCGCCTCTTCTATGTAATCCTCAAGCTTTCATGATTGCTAAAGGGTTTTCTACAAGTTGCTAATTGTTAGTAATCAAACTTGTACTTTTATCACCTCTCTAGTCAATATTTGTTTGCTGTAATCACTAACCCCATCCAACTTTCCTTCCTCAAATCACAACAACACAATCCTTATCTTTTACACTGATGACTTTACTAAACCCAAAAAAGAATAAAAAATGGTAATATATCACTTCTCATTTCATTTTCAGAGTCCATTTAAGATAAAATACTGCAACTGTTCAAGACCTTATGTGTTAAGATTAACAGCACAACAGGGCTTAATTTAAACAACAACCCATTATAATTATAATATTGGTAAGCAGTAATCTATAAAGATTCTCAAGCTTTAGACCTTTAGTTTTCTTTATGTATTATTTCCAGGCAATCAAAATCAAACCAACTTCGTTTCTCTCGCACAAAAATACAACATTGATCACAGCACACATGGTTGTCTCTTGGTTGATTTACAGCAAGTGGGTAATGAGTGATTGATTTTAACTATCTGGATGCTCGTGTACGGTTATGGAATCGGACAAAAAGCTGACGCTGGAATTTTCAGAATATAAACAGAAACCGTAAATGGTTTATCATATTTTGCTTATGGAACCACTTTGTTTACTGCTCAAAGCCTGGTAGCCATCAAAATGAAAGACATCCAAACAGCAAAACTATTTTTATGTTACTACTAGCCCCTCATGTGGATTCTGAAAAAGCTGAGGTTGAGGCCCCAGCGTGATGGAGCTTGTAATATTCAACTAAATTTGCTGACTTCTATTTCGATTCATTATACACAAAACAAGAAAAACAAAAAAAACAAAAAAAAAAAACAGTCGTTTTCTGAGGTACTTTCAGACTGCAAATAGATGGGGTTAGGCAGTTGTTGGATGTATGACATTAGTACACAAGCACAATTTGAAAAATGAACAAAACGAGCTCAGCTAGCATGTTTCTAGATGATCAAAAAGCCATTCTAGAAGTACATTTTATTTAGATTTTATGCCCAGTTTAGTTTACACCATTTTGTTGAGAATAAAGATGTATCACTGTACTCGAATCACACTTCAACCAAAGCACAGACAACTAGTCCTCTTGTAGCAAGAAGCGCTCATAAATTTTTCCTTTAGGATCTTCTTGCAAGCTGCTGTGCATGCTTCGATAGTGCATGGGTTCATTATGATTCCGATTACTGCCTCTACTGTGCTAGGATTGGTGGCCATGAAGATTAAGCCCACAAGAATTAACACCATAAACCACTGCAGACTTGGTCTACCTTCCATTGAAAAACAAAGAAAGCTTGATTTTTCTCTTGTTCTTGATAGAAATTTGAGTGATCTATGGTAATTGGTCATCAAGATAAAACTTACAATAAGAGACATGTGAGAAAAAGGAAAGAAAAAGGACTAAGATATCTGTGGATTATCTTATGATCTATTTTTTGAGCTGTATTTGTATGTAATTGATGATCCATTACCATCCTGGGTAAATTTTAAATTTTTACTATATTTTACTGTAAATGAATGATTCTGTTACATATCATGAATATTACAAAAAGTCAACGACTTTTTCCCACCCAAGGTTTGGTTTAATGACACTTTCCCACCTACAAAATTTCAAAATACCATTTTCTCACACAAAGTTAAATATTCTGATTCTCTTCGTTATCACCATTTGAACCTCTGGTCTCTTCTCTACAAAACTCCTCTCACTCCAACACTTGATTTCTCACCGATTGCCGGCCATCGCAAAGCTAGGGTTCATGTTCTTAGTTGATTTCCAGTTGATTCTAGCAGCGAATATTCAATCGGTTTCAACTATTCAATCCACCGGCCTCTAATTTATAAAACTCCTCTAACCTTGACTCCTGGTAACTCATCGAACGTTAGTTGAGAAACTGAAATGTATTTTGAGTATTAACAGAATATAAACTTTGGGTGGAAAAATGGTATTTTGAAACTTTTTGGGTGGAATTAAAAGGCAAACATTGGGTGGGAAAAAGGTATTTACTCAATAGTATAACACCTGAAATGGTATGTGGCAATGGCATATCACAAAATAGGTGATGTCAACGTGCGCCCATGAAAGGACAAATTTTTTTTATTATATCAACGTATATGGTACGTGTAAAGATAAATAGATAATATCAAATCCATCGTTTAGAAAGAAAATTTTAAATATTACTTAAAATATATTAATATTACACTTTCAAGAAAATGTATTATATTGGTAGTCTTCTTAATCAAGTTCAATATAGACTCTTTACTATAATTTTTATTTTATTTTAAAGAAGTAAAGGCAACAAGAAAGCTGGGTTAAGAAAAGGCTATTACCATGTTTATAACCAACATTAAGAACTCTTATCTATTTCCCTTTCAACTCTGGGAAGAACCAAGAAAATATTAAAAAGGCAGATCATATGTGGAAAAGAAAAAAAAAACAAATCTCGCAAAAGAAAGGGTCCTGCTCTTCCTTGATTTGACCTCTCTATTTGCTTTACAAACCTGACCTGCCTGTTTCTAATAAGAGCTATCTTCATCCACTACCATACCATGGATAATGCAAACTTGATGCACCCGAATACAATAATATCTATCAGTAAGCTTTTCTGCTTGCATAACGTCTCTCTGATAGCAGTTATTGCTCTACATTGAGGTCGCCCCATCTAACTTTATATCTGGCTGCAAGGTAGTGAGCTCCAACAGGTCCCCGACTTCCATAAGGATAGTACTCCGGGATAATCTTTTTCTCTTCTAGTTCTTTGAGAAGAGGAGTGAAGAGAGCCCAAGCAGCATTTAGTTCATCACTTCGGATAAACAGCCTCCTTTCCCCTTCAATAGCATCCAGTAGAAGCCTCTCATATGCATCTGGAATCTCCTTTGAATATCTACAAAAAACATAACCAATAAGATTAATTGTAGTGACAAGTACGTGCAAGTAGATATTAAAAAACTAAAAAATTAACATCTACGTGAGAAATGCAAAATTTGAGTATTTTCACAGGCAAAAAATCAGAGATGCATAAGCAGCATATCCACTTCAAATTCAACCAAAACTTATATTAGTTGTTTTTCAACATGTTTTCATGCCCAAGGAAAAATGCCCAATGTTCATTTCTTCAGCATACCATACAAATGCGAGCTGATCCCTAAGATCTATGAACATGTTTTACAAGCATATTACAGAGCTAGGTTTAAAATGTCTACCTAGCTGCATAGTGAAGGTTTAGATTACTACGGTCCAATCTCATTCCCAGACCAGGGATCTTGTTATTGATCTTCAAGTAAATAGCCTCATCGGGCTGCACACGTATAACAAGTTCATTTGTAGCTCGATCAAGATCTGTTCCAAAATTTCGGTTATATAAATTGCCAGGCACATGCCTAAACTGCACCCTTATCTCTGCCCTGAAAAAAGAAAAAAAAAACAAAGTCAAAGATGATCAAGTAATGGATTACCTAGCCCAAAGACGCAAAATATGTAATTATATCATCCTTAGTTCCACATACCTCTTAGAATGCAATGCCTTGCCAGCTTTCATGAGAAAAGGCACCCCATCCCATCTTGCATTGTCTATGAAGAGGGCAGCTGCCGCAAAAGTTGGAGTCAAGCTGTCCTTTGGCACAGTCTTGTCATCGGTGTAAGCAGGGTAAGTAACTCCTCCTTTTGTATGGCTCTTATATTGCCCCACAACCATGTCTTCAAGTTGTAAAGGTCTCATAGAACGTAAAACTTTGACCTGGCAATCAGAAGCAATTAAAAATTTTAAATTTTAAAATAGAAGTCCCACGTCAAGATATCACAAATAGCCCAGCTTCAGTATTTTAGTAAAAAAGAACCTTTTCATTTCTGATATCTTCTGCATCCAAACTGACAGGAGTTTCCATGGCAAACAGGGCAAGAATTTGAAGCAGATGGTTTTGCATTATATCTCTTATTATCCCATAATTGTCAAAGTACCTAGATTTAACCCATAGAAAAAAGAATCATAAGATCTTTATGCATATGGAAACTAAAACGTGTATATAAGAGAAAAGACAATACCCTCCACGTCCTTCAGTGCCAAAATCTTCAGAGAATATTAACTGTACATTCCTAATATACTGCCTTGACCATAATGGTTCGAAAATGAGGTTGGAGAAGCGGAGAACAGATAAGTTTTCTACTAGCTCCTTTCCCAGATAATGATCTATCCTGTAGAATGTATATTCGTTCAATTAGAGAATAGTCCATATTCTTTCATAATAAGACCGATCATCATTAGAAATTTGTACCTAAATATTTGATCCTCATCTAGGTAGTTCTTGAGGGCTTTTGTCAATGCTGCTGAGGATTCTGAATCTCGACCAAAGGGTTTCTCAACAATGACTCTTGTCCAGCCATTACCAGATGATGCTGACAAGCTTGCACACTTAACAGCATCTATGAATATATTTGGAGGGATGGACAGATAAAAGAGGCGATTAGAAACCCTCCCACCCTGCAGAAGTGATTTCTCATTGTCAAAGAAATTGAATCTCATGATGTAGGAGTGAATGTTTCAATCAAGTGATATTGGCATAAAAAATAATCTTAATTCCTAACTTGTTGCAAAAGAACAAATAAGAGCTCTCTGTGTATATGAGGAAAAAAGAGTTGCATTTGGTGGTAATTAAGAAGTAAATGATATAAACACCACCAGATGCCTCAATATTATATTGCATCCAATTACAATTCTATCATGCACCGTAACAGACATTGTACTCATAATTTGTGGATCCTCTACCTATCAAATGCAAAGTCACCTTAGGAGGGATGCTACCTCTGGTAATAGTAATTCTAGAACTCATAAGAAAAATTAAGATATTGCTGCCAAAGTTTCTCAGAATAAAGTATCAGCATGATACTAATGATTATTAGCCAACAGAACTTACAGATCTAGACACATGTAACTCAACAGGTCCAGAATGCCAACAATTCAAATATTTCAACTTGGATTAAAACTAAAGTGTTTTCTCTCTCTCTCTCTCTCTCTCTCTCTCAATCAAGCTGCAGGTCAAAGCTAACACTTAATGAAGCAAAAATATCTATACATGCAATATCTTTTGCCAAACACCCATCCTATTGTTAATCATCAAATGCTTTGAAACGTGTAGGACAGAAGAGTGCAGAATTGATCATGAATTCATGATCACAACAACCAACCAATATAATTTCCACTAAAAGGAGAACCAAATATTTTCTTAAACTGCAGTGAAAGGTTGTAAGAATCACAAATTAATGAACTACTAGTAAACTGAAATGTGCAATGTTATCACCATGCACATCCTACAACCTAATTACCTCATGTTTTTTCAGCTTCTTGTCAAGCTCAGCAAAATTTTCCTCAGAATCATACTGACCAGAATGGTAGAAACATCTTTTAAGAAATTGCTCCATCTTTTCATCACAGTTCTCTCTGAGAACCAAAGGAAACAAAATTTATCAGGTCTGAATTAAGTTGGGCAACAATATAAAACACAATTTGAGAACTTGAAGTACCCATGGATGAACATGGGTACTTCATCCAAATACACTACAAACATCTATTATGTCAACTTCAAATCAAAAACAAGCAAAACCAAGCCACCTCTTATCAATTCTGCAAGTGAGGGTCCTGCTAACCATGGTTCTGAGTTCTGCATCACTCATTTTACTCCGAGCATAACCGTATATAGTAAAGTGCTGCAACCAGACAGATTCACACATTGCACAAAAATCTTATGTTAACACAATAAAAACTTACACCCCTTATAAGCAAATTGGAATTACAGAATGCCAACCCAGATTAATGAAAGAGAAATAAATTGAAACCTTAGGAAGACAGTCCTCATAATAAAGTGCGAAAAGTGCAGGAAATATCTTCTTCTTGGCAAGGTCTCCAGAGGCTCCAACAACAGTAATACTAACAGAGGGCTCATTTTCATTGCTATCGAAACCGACTGCATCTTTACATTCCTCTAAAGATGTACCCGACAACAATCCACCTTTTGATTCCTTGAAAGGGGTTTCATTTCCAAGGGGGGTTGCTGTTGTGGCCACTGGACCTATACAAATTACCCAATACATAAAAGAATCAACATTAAATTAGATAATTCAGCTGTCTTTCTATAGCCGAGAAAAGTTTATAAAATATCATAAAAACATAAATTTCAAGTTTCTTATATTCCATTCTAAATTTCAATGAAATAGTTAGCTTCCATTAACCTAATCATATTTAACAACTCCCAAATAATTAAAAGCAACGTTCAAGCAATTTTACCAATCGTTTTATTCAATTCAATAAGTAAGTAATACAATAAAGACAGAAAATTCAGCTAAAAGTCAGAAAATGAAAAGCACCCAACTTATTAAACTAAAAAACATGAACGTTAACAATAAATATATATATACACAATAAAAGAACAACTAACCATCTTGCATGAGAACTACATTTTGATGGGAATTTTTCAAACATTGAAGAGATATCTTAGCCCGTTGGGGCAACGAAGAAGTGAAGCCAACACGTTGATGCTGCCCATTTGATGAAGAAGATGATAAACGATGATAGGCATAAGATGGACAATGAGCTGATGAAGAAGACAAAGTCGCCATCCACGAAAAAAAAAAAAACTCTCTTTATATTTTCCAATCCAACAGACAAAGATTAGAGTAGACAGAAGAAATAGAAGTGAAGGGTGAAGAAGATGAGTTGGTTTTGAAGAGAAAGAGAGGTTAAAAACTTCTTCGTAAACATCGAGGGGTCAGTCTCTTGAGATCTCCGAAAGGCTGCTTTTGCCTTTGTCCTACCAACAATTGGAAGGCAAGTCACAAATGGCGTTTGATTCCTTTTATTTATTTATTCGTAATTAAATTAATTAGAATGGGCCAAACCTAATCAAATATATAAACACCATCTTAGCCGTTGGATTACACTCCCTAGGCGATCAAGAGGTTATTATTATCATAAGTTTTGTAAATTAAATTTGTTTTTTATGTAAATAAATTGAATTTATTTACATGATTAAGAAACATATTTTAAACCTTTTGCTCTAAAATTCTATATATCTTATTTTTTAAAACAGAAATTTAAAATTGGTATTTTAGTTGTTAGAAATAAATATTTTTTATTAATTATGTAAAAACAATGTGAAAAATAGTTGTATGGAATGAGGCATGCATGAAACATGTTGAGCACATCACATGTAATGGCACTTGGCAAAAGTCAATATCCAATTTCCCATTCACCATTCAACACAATAGCACATCTAAAACTAAATATTTAATTAATTGCATTTTTTGTGAAAAATAATAATAATAATAATATGGTGCGTTTGGTTTAATATTTTTATCCATATTCTCAATCCTATTCCCGAAATATTTATTTGTTTAATTTTTTAAGAAATACTATTATATTTTTTAATTATTTTTAGACCCCTTAAGTTTATTAATTTCATTAAATACCCCCAGAAAAAAGTTTAAAAATTAACAAAAAACCCCCACCCACCCATAGTTGCCAGATTCCGGAAACCACCGTCGGTGGTAGTCGAAATTTGTCACAACGGCCTAAAAACGACCAGAAATGACCGGTAATTCACCGATCTGGCCTTTTCCGGCCAGATTTGGGCCTTCGTTGACATAAAACGACGATCAGATCTGTGCTGGATCTACCCGGAAAAGGCCAGATCAATGCACGTCCGGTCAGATCCACGTAATCTGCGTTGTAACGCCAGATTCCGACGGTGGTGGCCGGAACCTAGCACTGTGGGTGGGTGGGTGGGGGTGTTTTTGTCATTTTACAAAATTTTTATATATTGGGGTGTTTAGTTAAATTAACAAGCCTAGGGTTTTTTTTTTATAAATTTTACCTCGTAATAATCACCATATTCAACTATCCCATACTATCTCCAAAATCATATCCAAAATAATAAACCAAACGTACCTATTTAATATGAGGGTGTTGTATGAAAAGAATTAAGGAAATTAAGTATAATTAAATTAAAACTCAGTTGAAGTATGAGTTAGTAGAGCAACTTTACCTTCACAAATAATTACTTAGTACTGTCTGTCTTCAAGAGTGTTAAAAATAGGGAGAACCACATTTTCCCACTAAGGTTTGGCGAAACGGCACTTTTTCGTCTATCAAGTTTCAAAACGGCACTTTTCCACTCATATTAGGATCCGCCCATCAAATTTAATTGAAGAAGGACATAATAATAAATTCAAAAAAAAAAAAAGTTGGAGGGCAATTATGTCATTTCATCCCCAAATATATAGACTTTAGAAAAAGAAAAGAAAAGAAAAAAAACATAAACCCAAATTCAAACCCTTTTTACTTTCTTTCCCATCTCACCGCCCTAAAATCCTCCATACCCACCAATCAAGCAAAATCGCACCTAGTCTAGTGCAATTCCGATTGAATTGCATTCGACCAACTATTTTTTTTCTCAAATTTTTTTTTTTTAATTTGGATGATTTTGCTGTGTGTTGATTTGGATAAGAGTAGAGATTTTGTGTGAGAAAATTGTGGTGAGAAGGGAAGGGGAGAGAGTCTGAGAGACTGAGGAGGAGAAAAAGAGAGAAGGAGAAGAAAGAAGAAAGGCAAGGCAATGAAGACGAAAAGAGAAGGAAAAGAGAGGTGGCGAAGAAGAAGAGAGAAGATATACCACGTAAGAGAACGGGTTTTCCTAACAGAACATAACGGTGTACATGAAAATGTTTTTTAAAACTTAACGGGTTGGAAAATATCGTTCTCCCTTAAAAATATTTGTAAACTTAGAATTAAATTTAATCTTAATATTAAATTTCATTAAAGCTTTTTCTAATATGATTGAAAAATTGGGTTAGTGATTAAGAGAAATAAACAGACGAACAAGATTTGGAAAAGTTGGGCCAATGGGCTCCTGCACTCATTATTTTTGAGCCTGTGACTACCCTTTACTTTTGCATGGGCTTAATCCCATCCACCACACTTATAATAATTTAAAACTTAAAAGAAATAAATTAATTAAGGTTGATAATCTTTAGTAATTATTATTAATTTATATATAGTTACAATACTGCTGTCCATGAACACAAAGATCTTCTTCAACTTACAAAGCAAACATGGGCATACTTATCATGATTTAATCTACAATATTTTTACCACTTAATTCTTCCACAAATTTATGTAGTCATCATCAAGCAATCTTTAATTTTCATGCCCGGCAACAGACTAATGATTTGGCTTCAAGCCATCTTTGCTTGTTAACCCTAGCAATGAAATCTTCAACTCTCTTGGTCAGTTCCTGAGCAGGCAATCCAACCTCCTCCTCCTCCTCCTCCTCCTCTTCTTCTTTATGATCATCTTTTTCTATTTCAACTTCTTTCTCTTGTTCTTTGATGACCTCTTCTTTCACTGCTTCATCAACTTGATCCTCACTCTCCTTAGTCAAATTCACCTCCTCCTTCTTCTCTTGAAGACTATTATAACTCGAGGCATGACCTCTAAGCCTTTTGCTCCTCGCAATATACTCATCGTAATACTCATCACAAGCTGAAGATGATGAGTTTGAACCCACAAAATTTGATTCTCCAACGAGGACGACGATAATAACGTTAGCTACTACGAACAACCACTTAGGTTTAGAAAAGGAAGACCAAATATACGGGAGATGGATAAACAGAATCTCCTTCACGCAACAGCTTATAGAAGAAAACCAAAAGGGATAAGAGGAAAACAAACTATAAGCCGACCCAGTAAGAGCATAAACAAATATCAAATTACAAACAAAAAACCAACCCTTCTTGTAATTCTTATCGGCTTGAACCTTCATCACTCTCTTCACTAAATCCATTGCCAGCGAAGAAATAAAATACAGAAAATATAGGATAAAATTTGAGAGGATTTGGGTAGAAAAGCTAAGTGAGAAGGATTGACATATGACTGAACATAGAAGTGGAACCAAAGAATGGTTTATATAGTAGGGAAAAAGCAAGGAGGATATGTTGGTTGGATTCAGAGTTGCTACTTTTAATTGTTCTTTTAATGTATGGGAGAGTTACTTTATGAAAAGACATGGCAGGTTGAGTATTATAATTTTCGAGGCTTTTGGTTTAGCCTCCGCCTGCCATTTTAGCTTTTCTGGTGTTGATGGTTTTGATTTTTCCAGTATTTCAGAATATTTCCCACATAAAACTTTCTTAATATACATCATTGAATAACTTTTTGAAAGATTTACGTTTGTTAATTAAAATGTAGAACCAAATGTATGTATAATATGCATCGAATATCAGTCTATATTTACATTTGATTAACTTAAACAGTATAAAGTACATGGTTAGTTTTGATACGAGTACTGTGAATTCAAAAGCTTTTTACATCTTATTATATAAATAAAATAAACAGGAGATAATATGTGATTGCAATAAATATCTGATGATTCACGTGCATAAACACTGTTTCCAGATTACAAGTACAATGATTTCAGCCCTGATGTCACAACTTACAGAAAGTTAATCAAAAAGAAAAGTGGAGAAGATATTTAGTGCATAATTCATTCTCCTGTAGTCCTGTGTAACTTCACTGTTAATTTGTTTTTTATATATTAAAAAGCAGATGAGTAATACTATAAACTTCCATACTTTGTTGTTTGCCTTTAATGGGTGGTCACTGAATAGACTAGAAAATCTTAGTAAAAAATTGAATATTGTCATTGTCAAGCTGCCATGCTTTTGTATCAAATTGCTCTGCTTTTTCTTCCATAATTGAAAGCTGAAAGCATTAGGTAGCACGTTTGTTGAAAGGAAAAAAAGTTGGTTTGTGAAAAGAGATACAAAGTTCAAGAAACATGAAACTAGAGTCATTATCAAATGGTTTAATTATTAAGTTAAAAAAGGTAAGTGAGATGAAAAGTTTTTTCTGGGTTCACTCTAGTTCCAGTTACAGCCTGCCCTTGCTTATGTAATTTGCTGGAAAAAAAAAAAAAAAAAAAGAGGTTCAAGTTCAACGAATTGGTATATTGCTTTTGGGAAATGGGGAACTATCAGATTCTCTTTAAAAAGATCCTTTACTTAATGTAAGAGAGAAAGGAAAGACGTGTTTGAAGCTTTCATAGAAGAAGGGAAAAAAAGAGTTATGCTTTCGTCAATTAATAGCATCCAGCTACGCCAAATGTGGGTAGTTAAAAAGTATTAGGCAGCAAAGATAGATAATTAGATCCCGATAATTGCAGGGTAATATTGTTTATTGAACAAAGATTACATGCAATTCTATACTAGATATTTAAACTGTTTGGCGTGAAAAATTTTCAATTTTATATGCCTTGATAAATCTGTTAAGATTCAATCTAATTTATGTCACTTTCAAGGTATATTATTATACAATATTGAATTGAATTAAGATCAATCTAGAAATATTAATCTAAGAACTTTATAAATTGTTATTATGGCTTAATGAAATTGCTAATTTATGTATACATTTAGATTACAAAAATACTACGTTTACAACTCAATCTCACAACCTTCTCTTACAACCATAACATGACAACAGAATTCGCACTACCATTTCAACAAACGACTTTGACTAAATATGAACGACTGTTTCTTAGAGACAAAAAATCGCTCCTTAGAGACGAACGGCCATTCATTCAAATGAATGATTGTTCCTTATGAAAAAAACAATCGTTCCTTATAAATGAACGGCTATTCCTTCATAAAGAACAGTCATTCCTTATCAAAGAACGGTGATTCGTCCCTAGGAGACGATCGTTTGTGTTTAGTCAAAGTCATTTAGTGTCTTAGGTGTGGTGAGAACTGACGAGATTAGAATAAGGTAGTTAGTCATAAGCATGTCTAGAAACTTCTTAGTGATTGTTCCTCGTCTAGAAACTTCTTAGTGATTGTTCCTCGATTTGGTCTTCTTGGGTTTGTTTGGTTCTCCTCTGTGGTCGATCATTCTAGCAAGTTCGGGTTACCTCTGAGGCTACATGGTCTTGGAGGAAGATCCTCTTAGCAGAGATTGGTGTTGCGGTCTCATTGTGACTTGTAAAGGTGATAACAGAGATTCCTTTTTAAGGCAGGATTATTGGCTACCACAGGGACGTCTATGCGATTTGTTTCCTTTTAGGACTCTGACTTCTACTGGTTTACCTTGAGATGCTTGGGTTTCAAATATCATTTGAAATGACTCATGGGTTTTTCCTTCGGGTAGTGCAGATATTCAACATATCTGGGACTCTGTTACTGTGAAGCCTTCAATGGGTCTTCCTGACCATTTTGTCTGGAAGGGTCACTCTTCTGGCAGATTTTCCATTGACTCAGCTTGGAATGTGTTATGGGATAGACGAGATGTGAACTCAATTAATCATCTCTTGTGGTTTTTTAGGCATGTTCCACGCCACTCCTTCATTTTATGACTCGCTTCTCTTGGTTGGCTTCACACCAGGATCATCTTAGCTCTCACGATGTCATTGCATCTTTTGTGTGCCTTTTGTGCAGGTCTATGTAGAGACTCATAAGCATCTGTTTTTTTAGTTGTGTCTTCTCTTCTTATATTCAGCGGTAGGTTACTGCCAAGACGCTCGTTGTTGCTCGTTGTTTGGCCATCTTTCTCTTGGTTCTCTTTACTTCAGTGGGCTAGTTTGTATCTTAGGTGCAAAAGGGACTTCGGACACCTTTTTTTGCGGTTAGTCCTTTCTGCTACAGTTTATTTTTTGTGGTATGAACGGAATAATCGTGTGTTCCATCAGCATTACAGCTCTCGCAGAAATATTATGTCGATTATATGTGATTTAGTTCAAGCCAAGGTTTTAGGTTTGACACCCAAGTATTAGATCTCGACCCACCTCCATTCGATATGACATTTGCCTGACTAGTTTTTTGTGAAGAGCTTGTATGCTCTTTTTGTGCCGTTTGTGGTTTTTGTGGATGTTTCTCTTGAGACTTTTTGTCTTTGCTTAGAGTATATCTCTCATATCTTTGTATATTAATTTTGTCCCATATATTTAACTCTTACCTTATTAAAAAAAAAAAAAAAAAAAAAATAAGGTGACAATTGTCAGCTCAACTATCAAGTTGAAGTTGTAAGAAAAGGTTGTGTGATTGAATTATGAACGTAGTATTACCCTTTACATTAAGACACCAGTATTTTTCCCTTTTTCTATGACCTGCCGAAGATTGACCATGATGCGCTATGGTATAGAAGATCTTGAAATAGTTTCTGACAAGCTAAAACCACAAGACAAGAGACAAATTAAAACACCATTAGCAGAACAATGAAGGTCCAATAATTTACAATAAGGTAAAGTGCTTGAAAATTAGCTGGGCAGTGCACTTTGAAACAACAAAGAATAGTCAAACATGCCTCTCTTTATTTAATAATCTTAAACCTCAAATAAGTAGAAAGGTAGAAAAAGAGAGACCCTTCAGGATTTGGAGGACTTCATTTCTCCATTGCTCCTTATTTTTATGTTTATCATGTCAATAAGAAACTGGCTTTGAAAGAAGTTATAGTTCCACACAGATCATGGGCAATTTGGATTTCAAATCAGTCAATAGTGAAGTTGGCTAAATAGTCTCTTCTTTCATCGACTCAATGAAGAACATAATAAAATACAACAGAATGGAACTATTCTGGCTTGGAAGAAATAGCACCAGAGACCAATACAAGCAACCCCAGAAGGAACTCAAGAATAACAAGAGAAGCCGGCAAAAAACACTACAAAACATTACAGGGTTTGCTCAATTGCAGGCACGAAACCTGCTAGTTAAGAGTCAAAGATGACCAACTCTAAAAAAATGTTAACAAAAAAATGATTTCTATGCAATATTCTCCTTGTGACCCAGAAAAGAATCACGAGAACTAAACTGCATGACAACGAGAGGAGAAAAAAGAATATAACTACTTCTACTCAAACTCTACGCCACAAAACTGCAGACTAATGTCCTCAAAGTACCAGAGCAACCTTCTCATTGGAGACAAGTGCACATGGATGGGCGATTAATGGCTCATAATGATCAGCTCCAGCACCACACCAACCTGTATGTGAGGAAATTCCAGTCAGTATCTGGAGAGTTGATAAGAAAATAAAGCTGGCAATATTATTACCACTATCTAAGTGATCCAAAAGGGGACAGTAATGAGACAGATTAACAAAAATCATACAAAATTTTGGCCTTGTTGCTAAGTTGAGGTCAGTGAATTCTGGAATGCATTAATGAGAAAAAGTACTAAGCCCTAAAGGCAATACTTTACAATAAAAAACTGTGATTACCGGTTCCTTTCATAAATAGGAAAAATGGAGGTTCACAAATTTCACTTCTTGGGTGATGTGGAAGGAAGAAGACACAATTTTCTTCGTCAGCCATTGCATCGGATCCATGTGCTTGCACCTAGAGATAATGCAAACACAAGAAAACATAGTAACAAATAAGTTTCCAACCCCAGGATTAAAGAAATTTTCTTGTTGTAACAAAAATTAATACATTTTCATAGAAAGAAAAAAATGGGCCCAATATGAGAGAGGGCTTCCTCATCACATGGTGCTGTCATGTATTTAATTCTTTTCTCCATAAGTCACTATTACCCATCTTTTACACAGCATTCTCAGTCCAACTCAAGATGAACATGAACTGATATGATTACAGCATGAGTGTCACCAGATGCCACAAATTATATTCGAGTGCATGGATTGGTTAAAAATACATATCTTGGTGCCAGATTAGAAATCATAGTGACAAGCAGGACATAAGTAGAAACAGAAATATGATATAAACCAAATCTCCAAGAAATCAATCATAGAATTGATTACACGTAAGGACTCTTTATAATACTACAGCACCAAAAATCCCTTTGTCTTAACAGGAAATTTATATACTCTATTTTTCCAAGAGAGCATCATAAAACTTCAGAGACTACCATAATACCATGAAGTAGAAACAGATTAGAAATCAGCATAAACAATCAAACTGATTAACCAGCACAGATGAAACCAAATTTGATAAACCAACTACAGATTTCTGAAATATGCACCAACTAGCAAAAAACAAAAAATCACAACCAAACTGTGGATGATGAGAATAACGAAACAATTTCAATTGAAGCAACAAATAGCTCACCACATATATCTCTCGCTTGAACTCTGTTGCAAGACACTCGATAGCAATATCATCTCCGAAAGCAGCAGCATGACCTTCTCTGTTCTCATCTACAGATAATAAACCGTCCTCAGTATACTGCAAAGTGATGATATCATACTCATCATCAGGTGAACCAGAGATCAACATGTACTTAGCCCAACTCGGGCCATCATTCACGGGAATACATCTCTCTTTGTATATAGATTCCGCCGCCATCTCTCTTCAATAAGAAAGGTAAATAATAAAACACTAATATAGCCAAACTACACCGCAATCTGAATTTAAATTCCCAATTGAAGAAAATAAGGTCATATTTTGGTTGCTCCCAAAATGATGATAAATAATAAAAATCAATATATTTGCATTTAAATTTTTTTACATTCATTTACGTTGAAAAAATAGTAAATACCATCATAATTCATTACTTTTATGATTTCATACACTTTTTCCTTTCGTTTCTTTCCTAATTTTCTCATTAACCAAACAGACAACACATCTAACCGAAAAAACAGATCCGAGCACAAGCAATAAAATACATTTTTATTAAAAAAATTACCTTTGCATACCGAGCTGAACGAGCTCGTCAATAGCGGAGTCCAACCCGACCCGATCTTCTTTCTTGGCCAACATTTTCACCTCTTGAACAACGTGGATCCCCCACCCTTTTTTCAGATCCGGGGAGTACATATGCCTAATCGCATCGTTTATAGCTTCTCTATCCTCTTCACTCACCGATTTAAGGTCCTCCGTAAACCTCCTCACCGTCCGCCTCCGCAATTCTCGCGCGTCTATCTCACGCGCTATTGCCTTTTGCGATGCCGTGAAGAGGCAGTTCCCGTCCGCCAACACCTCTCCTCCGTGAGACAACTTGAAAACTATCGAACGCGACTGGTCCTCCGGATGCTTCCAGAGGACTCCCTTCGCGTGGAGTCTTTGTAAATGCCGTCTCTGCTGCTCCTCTAGACCGATCACATCCTCCCACGCGCCATCAGCCACCGCGGTTACGACTACGTTGGACTGGTCAACGAGATCGACGGATGGCTTCGGGTCTCTCCAATGTACGGTCGGAGAAGCCGTTTGAAATGTCTCCGCAACGGTCGTTGAATCGCATAATAGCTTACCCATTTGAATTTCTATTTTCCCTGTTAATAATTTCAAAATATATTTAATTCAAAATTCTTGCAGCAAAGATCCTCGTACAGTTTGTTTCCCTTCTCTTCTTGAATCCAAAGACAGCTCCAGAGAGAAGAGAGAGAAGAGAGAGAAGGAGTGAAAGAGAGGGAGAGAGATTAGGGTTAACGGATAGATGTACGACGCGGGAGAGTTACTAGTACACGTGTCGGTATCAAGGGCTATTTAGCACACTCAAGGAATTCTTATTTGTGTGTCTGACTGCGTGAGAGATGCTAACGTAAGCCGGTGGACCATGATGACTGATGAGCAAACCTAAGCCAGTTATATTTTCAATTTTTAATGTATTTTATTCGCCAGTGGCGTTTAATGTTCTTGTTGTTAGTTGGCATGCGTTGGCGTTATGGTAGGTAAGTAATGATTTACAGTTATGCATAACAGATCCAATGAAATCCTGACATTTCAGATTATGTGGGACCGGCCTTTTTAGATATCCAATGGAATTCTATTACTCCGCGTGTGTGAACAATACCGCTGAAGTTTGACTGACGCGCATGCGGCTTCTCGGCCGGCACGAGGCAACGGTACAAAAATGACGTGGCTTGATTTAATCTTGTAACGGGCAAAAACTTATCCATTTAGTACACTATTATCCCAACGGCTATATTAGTTATTTCGATTTAAGTACGTTATGGTTATGCTTTGTCTTAACCTTAATAACAATAGCTTAAAAGCAATATTTGTTCTTGCTTAATTTTAACACTAATGATTTACACGTATAAAATATTAAATTATTCTTATAAATTATGGTGCAAAGATTATATATGTTTGTAGAAACATAAATAATAGATTGACAAGAGAGATTTTTATAGTGTTTCAGATGTTTAAAGCGAATTTTACATCCACTGTTATTTTATTATTCTCTAACTATTTTTCTGATATTGCCTGTAAGACGTACAAAAATTGAGAAATATTTTGTTTACAGAGAGAAAATAATAAAGCTCAAATATTTATCTAGCTCTCATATGTCTAGCCAGTCACTTTTTCCTGAAAAGAGATGTCTATTTATACCTGTAAGATCAATGTAATAAATGCTTTTGCAAGTTGTCTTAACACGTGAGGACCAATCCTTAATCCTTATCTTAAAATGGAATATAATTGATATAAAATATCTTTTCGAGACGGTTTGAGTTTTTTACAGCTAATATCACATTATCTTTAAGTACTTGTTGAACTCTGATCGATAATGGTGACACTAATGTGCATATTTGGTACAAAAATATTGTTTTAATTTTTTTACTAAAAATAAAGAATTTTAGACCAAAATAGAAAAATAATTATCTTTATACTATAAAAGAATTACAAAATTTAATTAGATATAGTAAATCTTTAATATCCCATATTATTACACTATTAAGGTGAATATTTTTAGGATTATTTTTATTCATTACTTTATCATATTATAGTTGCCTTTCTATGAAAGGATTTAAAGGACGCGTGGTTGTGAGTTAAATGAAACAACCTTATTTTCGTCCTTAATTTTGTTTCCATCTCACCTAAATTATTATGTTTTCTCTCTACCCTACCGTTGTCTCCTTCACTCTCTTTCTCCACCCAAAAATAAAAATAAAAATTAAAAAAAATCAATGATTTATAATCATATAAATTGAGTTTAAGTAGGTGTTTGTCTGAGCTTATGAAAATTAGTTTATAAGCTAATTTTAGGGCCTATGGGGATTAGTATTGGTGTATGAAGTGGCCCGACACCCTCGATGAAAAAAAAAAAAAAAAAAAAAACTGATCATTAAAATACCAAACTTTTGTTGAAAATAAACACTTCCATTGTTTTTTTTTCCTTTTATTTTATTTTATTTTTAAAATAAAAGTGTATCAATATAATAATTTTTAATGATTGGGATACAATTTAAGATTACCCTCGGATTAATTATATTTCATGATTAAAAAACACACATTTACAATATGAAAACCATATAATTAATTACCCCATTCTTTATATTGAATATAATTACATATAAGAGAATCCAAGACTTTATTTGATACCCTTAAATGGTTCTACATTATCAAACATGAATGAACATATTCATCATTAAAGATTTGACAACTATAAACATTATTATTATTATTCCAGTTCCAGGGACACTGAGGAGGATAATAGATCATATTCTCTTCCTTGTCTTCTTTATTGTTATAGCTATTCTCCTTCTTTGCTTCTTCTTCTTGTTTCACGATCTCCACGTACTTTCCAAGTCTTCTGGTAATCTTTTCACCAAGCTTTGGTGGATCAAATACCCCCTTTACTTTCACTTCAGACTTACCCATATCTGCTTCAACACTTAAAACTCCTTCCATTCTTACTATATTTCTCTTAATATCATGGACACAACCTTCACAATGCATGTACATTTTGAATATCACCACCTTCACTTGAGGTTGAGGCTACATAAATAAAATACAGATCATCAACATAAGTAAGTAATAACCAAATTACTGTAGTATGGCTTACTAGATAACAAAACTTGAGATTGACCTCTTTTTTTTCTGGTTCTTTTTTATGTTGGAAGACTTCAACAGGTTTGCGTTTTGGAGAAAGAAGTTCAATATTTGTACTGTACTTCTTTCGAATTCTCCGAAAAATCTTTTCTGGGTCAGCATTCTTTCCTCTCACAATCACCTTATTGTTTGCTCTATCGATCATGATTTCTTCCACACCTAAAGGGTTAATTGATAAGAACAAAATATTGCACAAGTCCCACGTGGATAAACATAAAATATTGAATGGATATTACTAAAAAAATGCCAAATACATATAATATATTGAACATACATTTATCACAAGACACCAATAGAAAAACTATATATCTATTACCATTGAAACCTTGAAGGCAACGCAGAACCGTATTCTCACATCCTTTACAATGCATATAAACTTTCAAAACGATTCCTTCTTTACTTTCCTCCGGTTTTGCTTTAGTCTTGTGATCTTCATCACCTTGATATTGTGACATTTTGGTCCGTTTTCGATAATTTTTCCTGAGATAAAATCATAAGTTGGTAAAAGGACTATGAAAATATCGAATTTGTAGATAAACATCAGTGAAAACATATGTAGTACTGTAGTAGAATTAGAGGTTAACCTTTTTCTTTCTTAAAATTCAAGAGGATTTCATGGGTTGTAACAGTAGCTGGGAGATGGACAATAAATACTAATAACAATTGCCAAAAATGGGTTATATATAATTGAGTATTATTATTGAAACATAAGATCAGAAATACGTAATTCAAAATGAATTTGTTGCTTATATAAGGAGTGGGTTTACAGTTTTTCCAAACATATAGATTATCTACCAATGTTGATTCTCATTGCAATATTGGAGTGATAATAAATAAAACCCAAGATATGGCGTCAACCAATTAAGGAAGCAATCGGCATTTACATCCTAAAGCAAATTACAATTAGTTTCCTCTTTCGTAAGATTCTCTAAATCATCCAAATTTTCAATTAGTTTAAATTCTGTCGTTTAAAACTGAGGATATCAAATTCCGTTGTAGTCTAGTTGGTTAGGATATTCGGCTCTCACCCGAAAGACCCGGGTTCGATTCCCGGCAACGGAATTATTCTTTTTGGGCCTTTTGGCCCGTTTCAGTTTCCCAAAATGGGCTTTGATTCTGCTGGCCTTTAAATGGGTAGGCCTGGGCTTTGATTCTGGATATGTAGGCCTCGTTTTGGTATTTTAATAATATCATTGGGTGCGTTTGGCTTATTATTTCTACCCATATTTCCAATCTTATTCCCCAAATATTGTTTAGCACATTATTCCAGAAATATTAGTCTATTTTTTTAATTACTTTTAGACCCCTTAAGTTTATTAATTTCATTAAATACCCCCAGAAAAAAGTTTAAAAACTTACAAAAACACTCCCATCCACCAATACTTGTCAGATTCCGAAAACCACCGGAATCTCTCACAATAGTCACACCACCACCGGAAATGGCCGGTAATTCACTGATCTGGTCGTCGTTGACAGACAACGACGGTTTCCAACCGTCGATGGCCACATCCGGCCTTAGATTTGGCCTTTTTCGACCAGATCCGTGGTGGATCTGACCGAAAAAGGCCATATCAATCGAATACCCACCAAATCCGACAGGTATGTGTCCTTAAAAATTTTTCTGACTAGATTCCGACGGTGGTAGTCAGAATCTGGCATTGTGGGTGATATGGGTGTTTTTGTCATTTTACAGTATTTTAATATATTAGGGTATTTATCAAATTAGCAAACCTAAGGGGTTTTTTATAAATTTTAAAATTTTACCTTGTAATACTTCCCTATCTAATTATCCAATATTATTCTCAAAATCCTATCCAAAATAATAAACCAAACGCAATCATCACTATTATAATTTTGGTTGCCCTTCTCATAAACAGTGATGATATTATAAAAATACCAGAGAAAATACTCTTTAAATGTAAATTGCTGATGCATATCAACATTGACGAGGCAACCGATAACCTCAAAAGGGCACGTGAAAATAGACGCATATGCCACATGTGAGACAGAGACCTTCGCCACGTTGAGTTGCAACCATGTGTCGAGCATTACCTATTACACGTTGTTCAACATAGTTTTTGTTGCATATCCACCCGCTCATTACTATTTTTAAAACTCAAATCTTCTCCCCTGATTCTCTCTATTCGGATACTGGTTTTGAAGCCCTCAAATTGTCATCAGTAAGATCTCTTCTTTTTTCTCTTTCATTCTCTTAATCATCAATGTCTTGCTAAGATCATTGCTTTTTTCTTCACGTTCTTGGGGGTATGAAATTACAAAGTAAACTTATTTTCTGTAATGGATTCGATTTTCACTAGATTGCAACTTTGCATTACTTTTGTTCCATGCTGGTGTTGAGGGTTCTTTTCTTTAATTTCTTCTGTTTTTACTCTTCAGGTTTTGACAACAGCCGCGAAATTCTAAAATCGTTTCAGTTTGCACCCTCCAGAAGGTTTAACCAAATCAATTATAGCAGAAATTTTTCACTGGAAACAAAAATGTCCGGGGTATCTCTTGCTGTAGCACCTAATGAGGAGGTTGACAAAACCACAAG